TTAACCTTTTTCTAGGATTCAAAGCCTAACCAACAATCGAGATTAATCTAGCTATTATTGATCCAATTCTATGGCATGCAAAAAATATAGAGATACTCCAGGAAAATGGATATCTATAGTAAGTTATTATAACCACTTTTATTATACTAAGGGACAAATAAGTTGAGTTTTGCAGATAAGAGCTTCACTATAGGAGAATTTTTTGCTCCTACAAACTAGCTGATATAAAATTTTTAGATAAAAAATATTATGCAAACTTTGTGTTATATATACTGTTTTTTGTGACACTTAAAAATGATAATTGATAAATTTTTCATTCTTGAATTTAATTTTAAATATGAAAGCACTAATAATAATAGAATAATATAACTATTTTGTAATATCAAATTGAAATACCTTGTAATTAGTTATTATTTAGGGAAACCCATTTATGCAAGATCCCAGCAAAAGGACAATATTATACTACTCATATATTTAAGATTTGAAAGGGTTTAATAATCTCTCAACTATGTAAAGAATGTAGATGAGAAACTAAATCGAGTCTTTAGCTTTGTGTCCCATGTAGTCAAAGTAAAGAAAGAGCATATAAATATTATAAACAGAAGCATATAAGAGAAACTCTGCATACTTAATATCTGTATATATGAAGCAATTTACTAGATATGTATCTCACTTTCTCGGTCTATAACCTTGAAGCCAGATAAATGCTATTAATATATACATCTTTTTTCTAAGAGACATAGAGGAAAAAAGAAAAAATAACCAATTAAACTTATCATTTTCATAAGTAACAATTAACTATTATCATTTTCATAACTAGTAACTCCTAATAGAAACACTCCAGAAAATAGTTAACTTATTAACCAAAAGAGAGATTAATCACAATGGACTAACATTCTGCAAACTAATGCATAATAGTTTCAAGTATATAAAAGATCTAGCTCAATTTCTACAATTACTGGATATTATAGATTATTACTATCCTGAGCAAATTAGATTTATAAATGCTTTGTCCCATTCAGCTATGATACCACTAATTAATATAATAGAAAATAGACCCGATATTTACAAGAAATAGTCTATAAGTATAGAAAAATACTAGAATCTATTTCAAGCATTATAGCAAAGCTAGTGTCTTCGATATATAAAAAATAAATATAGTACCAAATAATGTAATATAGCCTGAGTCACCACAACTCGAAGCTATAAATTTTTTTTATTATATCCTATATATTGGTAACTTTCAAATTGACAGATTTGACCCAAAGCATTGACGTATATATATATCTAGCATATATAGATTAAAACTTTTGATCAAACTCATGTCTTGTTCATATCTATTTTTAGATAGAATTACAATAACTACAACCCATTCAATTTTTGGATATAGCTATCCACGGATAATTAATTTCGATTTGAAAAAATATTTTTATAGTATATATAACCTAAAGAACTGTTCATAATCTACTCGACCTACTATAACATTAAATCATATTAGCTATTATAACTAAAATCATTGAAAAATACAATCTCAGCCTCAAGATGAGAGTATCCAATCTCAGTAAATATAGCTCGAAATTTCTTGAAAACCTTACTGATGATAGAAAGTAGAATCAAGATCAACAATGTCTTCGAGATAGTTTTAAATTTAGCAGTGATTAGGTAAGTATATTAATATCTAATCAGAGAAGTAGTAAGGTTAAGATTATAAATATCATCGAGAGTAGTTGCAAAATAGCTATAGCTTCACCTCCTAAAGATTTAGAAGAAGAGATTATCAGAGAGATAACTAAATAAATCATACAGAATAGATATGGATTTAGTGAGAGACAAGTGGATGATTTATTCTCTACTCAGAAAAATACAAGTATGTTTGAAGAGCCATTGCCCTGCAATAGAGATGTAAATATTGTAATTTCTAACAAATCCTCGAAAAGAATGGAAGAAAAAACAATTAGAGATATAGTGTAACAGATTTTATAGGATAAACTTAGCATTAGAGATATAAGAGCTGAAGCTTATGCCTTAGCTCTCTCAGTAAAAAATGCTAATGCTAGCTCATTACGTCTCACTCATCTTCATAGAGAATTAAGGAACCTTAGTGCATCACTTGTGATAATTGAGGTTACAAAATTTCCAGATATTACAGAAGATACTAACAAAATCCAGAATATCAATTGAAAAAAAGCTGAAGCTAAACATATCGATTATTCAGATAAATTTACATTAGAATTAGTTAAAGAAAGATTAAATGCATATGATATTAAAACTTTACCTTAATATCATGCTCTTGCTAATGTTATAGTAATACTTTGTATTTATCCTGCTGAACTTAAAACTTTACGCATTACAGATACTAGAGTGACAGGTTATGTGAAAAACTAAGTTCAGCCTGATATTTCTAGAAAATTTAGATCTATGGAAAAGAATCAAGAATGAGCCAAAGAACTACTTACTTGAATTCAGTATACTATATCATCTAGACGAATGAGTGATCTAGGTAAGCCAGGAGTTAAATAGTTCAATAGATTCTTAAAAGATTATGATTTAATTCCTAAATATTTACATAAATTAGAAGCAGTTTACAGTGCAGTAGCATATGAGACTAAGAATATGGCCCATGCTTATATAATTGCTAGAGAATAGCTATGTCATTCATCTAATAATCATACTTCTCCTATGCAAAATTACATTGTAAGTAATTATAGAAAAAGAGAAGTTCCTTATGAGCAAGCAAAACGATTTCATATCTATGATCAAGATTAATTGCACTTTTTCACTTTTACTATATCTACAGTAAAATCTTTATTATCATAAGAGGATTCAGAGCTCGACCCAGATCTAGATGAAGGCTAAATTTTTTATGTATCTTTAGAGACTAGCTCCGCTATTCACAATTTCCAGTGAAGATTGAGTGATCTTCTCATGCTAATTAATTCATAAATGAACAGATCGCCAAATCTGAAATGAGATTTCATAAAATCTGCAAATTGGTTTGTTAATACAGAAATATATTATAAACAGAATAAATGGATAATAAATTTCAAAGACTTATCTGGTTAAAGTTTGAGTAAATGTATTGATTTAGATATTATATCTGTTTATTTTTTAGCTATCAAATAATTCTGAGTAGTAAAAAAATAATATATAGTCAGATAAGTATGAAATGATAAGAAAAAATTTCATCAGTAACCAACTCATCATTACCTATACTATGAGTAACGAACCACTTAGTAAAGGAGAACTTACCAAAAAATATCCCAAATGAGCAGAATTATTAAAAGCTTTAGAAATAAATATCTTAAAAGGTTATCCAAACTCTCTCACAAGTAATATCACAATACTAGAGCTAGAGAATTGTCATAAATGTAATGAAGAAATTTTGTTAAATCTACTCAAAGCATTTACAACATTTGTGTATGGTCATATACTCTATCATGACTGTCTTGAAAAAAGTAATAGAGATAAGCAAAAAACTTGTCACATTTGTTTTGTAGATAATGAAGGAACGGCATCAGCTGAAGTTCAAGACATAGATATGTCAGAGGTAGTAGAAAATGAAGGTGAAGAAACCTCTAATCTAACAGAGGCAGTAAGTAAGTTATTTGTAGATGATAGTAAAGCTATCCCACGAAGTAAAACAAAATCTATAGAACCTAATAAAGTATAAGGTTTAATAAAAGAACTATCTATGCCAAGTGAGCCAATTGATGATAATGATAAAGGAAATAAAAGCAAAAAATCAAAACCAATAACTTTACTCCAGTTATACTATAATGCAAACTAGGCAGAAAAACATGTAACCCATGCCTACTAAGAAGAAATAAGATGCTGGTATCTGTTTGCTAAAAAATTTGAAGAAAGAGTTAAAGAAATAAAAAAT